GCCCGGGTGCAATTAATTCACTAAACATTGATCCCAATTTATTCTACAATCATGTCTACAAACTTTTGGGCCAAATTTCTGGCCAATCGCTCTCATTAACTGATATCGCTCCTAGTGCGTTTTCGAATGATCCTGTGTCAAGCAGTAATGTTCTGTCGCCTTATTGGATGTCAAGGACTCCTGCTGCTAAGGCTGCATCGCTTCTATATCGGAGATCTCAGATCTTGAGATCTCCCGACAAAGACCCTTCCCACTCAGATAAAGGGCAAGGTAAATTGCCTGGTGAACGCAAAAGGCTCGGCTTAGTAGAAGTAGAAACTGCCACTGATGTCATTCTTTCTTGCATGGACATGCTGCTCATAAAACGAATGCGTGAAGTCTCTACTAATCGTGTACTCGGTTTCGTCAAACGTCTCGCAGGCGCTGCTCTTGTCATGGTAAGTTCTTAGTCTATAGCATTATCCTTAAAATGTTTGCGATTCATCTGGATTTACTTGCTTCTTTCACTTAATCCTATCATTTCTTGTGTTTTTATATTTTGGCACCTGAACGACGAACTTAGTTCTGCGAATTTGACAAAGTCACTGTGGATCTATTAGCATTCGCAGCAACATAGCAAATTTATTTAGTTATGCTTATGTACGATCGCATCCTTTGACGACGTAGCATTTTATTTATCGATTAGGACTGTCATCACTATCATGTAAATTATTGGTAGCTCTGAATATAGCTCAATTTAGTCTTTCATACTAGTTGATATTTTTGCATGCATTTATTTAGATTCGTCTTGTTAATTAAAGTGCAATCTAATAGACTACTATTCTGTCAGAGCTTCTAGAGTGGTACTTTTTGATTGGTCATTTGCCACCACCTTACCTTTTTATTTCGGCAAGTTTACAAACTTCATTCACTTTAAATTAATTATATACTTTCGTATTCCTAAATAAATTACGTGTTAGGCTGATCCACGTTTCAAATATGTGATGAAAACATTTGTCATTCTTTGTAATCACTAGACTGTTGATCTGATCGTCTGTATTCTGATTTTCCTGAGGCCTTCAGGTTGATGCTTCCCCTTTTCTCTGATGCATATGTAGTAAGCACACGAACTGGATACTCTCTATGTTAACTGTACCACAAAAACTAATTTTGAGAGGCATAGCCTTACTTGGCCAGTTTATTATTGTGTTGATGCGTTATTATTCATACGAAGCCACTGATAGCTGTGAGTAATTAGAAAAGAGTGTAACACCCTTGCCAGATTATAAGGTTCAGATGACTTGCTTTTGACTCAGGAAACGCACCATTATTTTCTGCGGAGCTTTTGAGATTTCTTTAAAATATGTATTATTAGATCGATAACCGCACGAGCTGAATACGTCGCCATCA